CTTTATGCTCGTTATAACAGATTAACCCTTGATGTTGTTAGCAGACCAAAGACTACCTCAGGGAACGTGGCACTTGTTTGATCTCTTAGAAGGAACGTGGCACCTATTTGCCCTATGGGTAATGGGGAGTCTCCCCTTAGGTGTACGATGCGTCTGGGCTCTTACCAACATGGACCATTGTGACAACTAGTAGTCAGGACTACGGCGACTACACCATCATTAGCAAAATGTTAAGGTTTTCCTAGTACGGCCTGCAACCTCCCCTCTCGGTTTCTTGCTAGGGTTCAAGTTTATAAATAGCCAAGTCAAACATAAGAACAATAATCGCCACTTACTACTCATAACTCTCTCAAGTTCATAGTTTCTCTTAAACTATCTCTCTGACTCAAGCATCAGAGTCCATGTGGCGAACACCCTTCCCCTTTCTATCGGGTGTTTGTCAATTAGGCTTACAATATTTGTTATCTTGCATGTGTGATTTCGTTGATCTAGTCTTGTACGAAATTTGCCTCCACATCTCCACATCCTCCTAGTATACTATAGCGTTGTACCAGAGAAATATATAGTGTCGTACTGGCTAAACCCTTACCCGACACAAATTCGATAGATTTCACTCATTGTAGCATAGTGTTGGTAGAGCAATAACGTTAGTGGGTTAGATATTTATTTGTTAAGAGAAGGGGAATTGGTGGGATTGAACTCGCACCAAGGTGTATAAGCATGATTACTTTCTGCCAATGCGGTAAAGCGTCACCTGTCATCTTATTCCTATTTTGATTTATAACAAATGTAACTTTTTTTTTTCAACAAGGCAGGTGTTGTACCAATCCCAAAAGGTTGGTCTAGCGGAAAGTGAGCAAAGGTTGGGAATCTCTAACCCGAGTTTGAACTCCCACTTGATATATTCATTGGGGGTGTTGACTTTTTTTTAGAATACCGTTTGACTCGGAGGTCAAAAGTACATTACCGCCTCATATGATATCGAAGCTGTATGAAGAAAGAAATTAGCCTGTCATAAATATGTGGTACCGGGGCAGCAAGTGTTATACCACTAGAGGTGTAAGATCTTATAAATCTAATTTAATGTCTTACAAATTTGTTACCCACACAACTTCTGATTTGAATTCAAGTTTCTTATACCATAACAATAAAGTTTGGCGCTACCATCCACACGAGTAGATAATTTATCTCCACGAGAGCCAAAGACTGTTTAACTAAGGTTATGGAAAACGACTAAATTTTACCAATTTGATTTATTATTATATCTCAGAGGGAAGATAAGAGGTAAAAAATGACATCTTTGATTGATCTTATCAAGGTATGTGTCGTAACTGCTTCAGTTTAATTAATACACGTAAAACACAAAGGGTTATTTTTCTGATAGTCAAAAGATTTTACTGTGGTACTTGATGTCTCAAGTTTGATTCTCAAGCTCCCTTATATCCCCTTGTATAATATCCTTTTAACATAATTAAGATGAGTGCGTAAAATCGCTTGTATCCAAGACAACTCAATAATAATTCCATTCCTTGTATAATATGAAAATTTATCCTTTCAAATAAGCGTATACCACCATATGTAGCAAGTAGTCATCGTATATAGAAGACTGACAGTATAAGGATTCTCATCCTATTTCAAAATTTTACCTAAATACAATATTTCGACAACTCTATAATCCATCATGATGAACAAATGCAATGTACGGAGCATGGACCCAATTTTTGCACCTTCGATTTTGTGTTTACTGGGCGAAGAATAAAATCTCATGATATCTTATGATTTCCTCCAACAAACTAGAGAGGTGCTTGATTAGTTCATCAAATTCTCACACATCTCTTATTACTTTTTATCGTTTGATCTTCTTTAATTTTTCTAATTTGATTACCAAAAAGTAAAAAGATGTGTGAATAACACATAAAAAAAAGTCTAAATCGATAATGATGGTGTAGTCGGATTTGATACTAGGCAGACCTTAGCATTCTGCTAATGATGGTGTAATCGTAGGCCACGTTTTTTTTTTTTGGGTACTTTTCTCTTTATAAAAAATTCATATAAAATATTAAGGTGGTTTAATCTTTTTAAATAGGAGAGGTGGGAAGAGAAAAGAAATTAGGAGGAGAGATAATTCTACCCCTAGTTAGCAGGAACAAGGATGGTTTGCCCTCTTTGTTCCCGTGCCCTTCTGTTTTGTGTGGTTATGGTTAAATCACGTCAACATTTTATATTGTTTTTTTATAGAGATAATAAGACAAAAATGAATAGTAATATAAAATGTTGACTTGACTTAACCGTGACCACACAAACAGGAGAGTATGGGAGAGCACGGGAACAAAGAGGGCGGACAATCATTGTCCGTTTAGCGGAGCCCTTTGAACTTTATATGAGGCTATTTAGCTATTTTAACTAGAAGGTAGAAAAAAAGTGGTGCTCCAAGAAACTCATTATCTTACTCTATTTTGTTTTTGTGTACAACTCTGTAAACATAAAAAAATTACTAATTTAACTTTATATGAGGCTATTTAGCTATTTTAACTAGAAGGTAGAAAAAAAGTGGTGCTCCAAGAGACTCATTATCTTACTCCATTTTGTTTTTGTGTACAACTCTGTAAACATAAAAAAATTACTAATTTGGGAGGGAGAGATGCCAAAGGATGAAAAAGATAAGTTGTTTAGATAAGTTAAACGGGCTATTAAAAGTATTTTCGGACAATATTTATTAGCTAAACTAACAAAATTTTATCAGTTGCGGTTGGAGATGCTCCTAGAACTGTGTTTCAATGATATTGTTAAGATTTCTAGAAGAATAATACTTAGATACTCACCATTCATTACCCTATATATTCATTTTCTAATTTGACCAAATAAAAGATGTCATGTATTTCTTGTTTTTTTCAAAACTAAATAAAAAATTAAATATATATTTTTTTTAAACAATAAAAACATGTGTTAAAATATCATTGATCAAAATATAATCCTTTGTAAAATATCATTTGTACGTACCTAAATATCATCATTCGTAAAATATCTATAAATTTTTAAGTAATATATTTGAATTATCATAGAAATACTAGGAATATATATTCAAAGGGAGGGTTAATTACACTAACACTCCCTGAGGTTCATCGAGTTTTCACAAAAATTCATTCACATTTGAGACATTACACAAATACCCCCTCAAGTTTTAATTTCCTTTCATATAACCCTTGAGTCAAAATTTGGCTTATAAATTTACTAATTTACCCTTATTAATTACTTAAAACTAATAAAGAAAAGCTTTTTAATTATATAAAAAGGATTATAAAACATTAAACACTTAAAAAAAGAAGGAGACCATGTGGACAAAACAAATTAAGAAAAGAAAAAAAATTCATTATTACTTTGAAAATAATATTTTATTAGAAAAAGAAATTCATCTTCTTCTTTCCCTCCCACCCGATGGATCGACCACATCTATCTCCATCTCCTCATTCTTTCTGCATTACCACGACTTTTAATTGTTGCCTCTTCAAAATCAAGCCAGGGACACCACTACTTTGTCCATTGAATTAATCCAAGTTTGATTGTAACTTTTTTCACAAGGGAAGTTATCGATCCATATACAACTTTTTGGAAAGTTGCATTCCTTTCCAATTGAGGTTTTGTACCGTAGGATTATTAACCCCCATCACATCCAAATCAATCATGATCTTATGGTCATAAACAAACCCAATGGGCAATTTTCTTATTTCCATTCAATTTAAGAAATTTAATATTTAAATTTTCCTTATTAATTAAATTTCCAACATGGAGGTGGTTGCGATGGGAAGAAGATGAGATTGTTGCCTAGGGTTGGGTGGAGGTCGTTGCTTAAAGTTTGAATGGGTGGTGATGATGGAGAAAGAAGGAGGAGGTGGAGGCGGAGGTGGTTGCTCTTTTGGGTGGGAGGGGAAGAAGAAGAAGAAGAACTTTTTTTTTAAATAAAATATTATTTTCAAAGTAATATTTAAATTTTGTTCTTAATTTGTTTTTCTCCACATGGTCTTCTTTTTGCTTTTTAAGTATTTAATGTTTTATAATTTTTTAATTATAAAGTTTTTCTTTATTAGTTTCAAGTAATTAATAAGGGTAAATTAGTAAATTTATATACAAAATTTCACTCAATGAGTTGTATGAAAGGAAATTAAAATCTGAGGAGGTGTTAGTGTAATATTACAAACGTGAGGGGATTTCGTGAAACTCGATAAATCTCAGGGAGTGTTAATGTAATTAACCCTTCAAAGGGATATGTCAATTGGGTAATGCTAAAGAGACTAAATTATAGACTAAATTTTTTAAACTAAATGACATAGAAGTTGATGATTGCATTGTTACTTAAGTGTTGATTAACATGTTTATTTTTTAATGGTGACAAATCATTTAGTTTCCAAATTTAATCTATAAATTTAGTCTCCTTAGCATTACCCATGTCAATGAGATGTAGCTTGACTGGTTCACAAGTCGATCAATACTTCCCCTAACACAAGAATGTCAATGATATGCAATAAGAAGATATTATCACGGAAATGAGATGTAGCTTGACTTGTTCACAAGTCGATCAATACTAAAATTATTTTTCTTTTCCGAGGAATTATGTACTTTGTAAATAACTATTATATTTCTATCATGTTCATTGTTAGTTTTTTTTACACATATATTAAAAATGATAAACATAGTAGTATACTACAAAATTAATTGAAAATTTCGAATAATATTTCGAAAACTTGTAAAATATATGAATTTGAAAAATACTATGATTACTATAATTCTGAAAATTTTGATGAGATTACTCTGATTCCAAATATTTCAAATTTAGAAATTGTGTTCCAATCCAATCCGATTAAAAAATTTTAGAATAAAAATTGAAAACCTTGTTTCCGATATGATCATTCCGAAAATCTCCCTTAGCTCCTCGTAGCCTTCTCACATCTCTCTACCTAAACATTCTCTCCACATAGACCTTCTTGTATATGATTTCTTTGTGATTTGGGATAGAAAGAAGGAGATCTTGTAGTCTCAAAAGATCCTGCAATTACAAATTTTTACAGTGTCTCTTTTACTATGGCATTCCTTTTCTTTTTCTTTTACACACATTTTTTTTAACAGCATTCTTTAGTGTTAGTGTACAAATTGTGTAGAAAACATTTACATTGAAAGCAAAAAGAAATTGATTCTATATAGTTTGATTTTGTAGTCCATTTTCTTGTCCACTCCATTGTTTGGGATCACCTAGTTCTTCTCCAGTCCACTGCCGCATTCTTTCTGAGGCTTGTTCTACCTGCAATTTCATTTCAATTAAATGTTTTAATTTACCACTAAATATATATGGATTATATATTTATAACCTTATTTATGAGATATTTAATTAAATTTGTTGGTAGAAAAAACATTGGAATACTTTTACCTCTTTGTTCCAGTTGGTATTATAAACGATATACAAGAGGATTAGTGTCTGCAATAACGTCCCGAATATCATACCAATCCAAATTCCCTACAAAAACAATGCTCCTTAGTTTCATCAAGAAAATAAAATTGTGTTTTAGCATGTTAATTCACCACAATTTTTTCGTTACATTATGTTAATCATTAGTTGAAAGGTTTGAACTAAAAATTACTTGAACTTGGTTAGTGATACCTATTGAGAAATGATAGTTTACCTCCACTCTCAAACTTGTACGGTAACCCAGAAGAAACCCTAGAGGTAGCCCAACAATATAATAACAAAACAAATTTATGTAAGCCACCAAAGCTTGCCAACCTCCTCCAACAGCAACACCTGTGAAAATTGTATTGTTATAACCTCAAGGGTTTCAATGATTTGATAATACCGTTGTCTTATATTAAATTGTCTGATAAGAGAACATTTTACCAGATATAACCGGCTGAACGCTATTGAGGAGCATTGTAACACTGAGTAGGAAGGCTAAATGAGAGACGGCTTTTTGCATCTCTTTGCTTTCAGTAAAGATGATGGCAAAATGATCCTTGGCTGCCAAGATAACCACTGCGAAAATCATCCCAATGAGGAGAGACTCGAGGATGGTGATAATGACTGAGTATTTTGCAGCTCTAGGATGTGCTGATCCTAGCTCGTTGGAGACTCGAACGCTGAAAGTAAAATTAGGTGTACTCCAAGGAGCTAATAAGAGAAAGTAATCATCGAACAATGACATTATATTGATTGCATAATACGACATTTGATGTATTATTTATAATTTGGCTACATACGTATAAATAACTATCACATCACGTAGTCAGCTAATGGAGTACTTTTACCAGTTTATTACAAAAACAAGAACTGGCAGCAAAAATGAGAGTTCCTTACCTTATTGCTGCATTGATCCCAATGAACAACATGCCTTCCCATCCATTCACATTCATGCTGAAACAGAAAATCAAACACAAATCAGAATAAAATGATTCGGGATCAGTACAAAACCTTATTTATATACATATTATCATAGAGGGAGGAAAATTGTAGTCACTTTTTACGGGGTAAGAACAAAGGGTTTCGTTACCAGATTGAAAGGGAGCCAACTGCAATAACAGGGTTGTCAAGATGTCCAGTGAGAACAATTATGGTCATGAAATACCAAATCTCCAAGCAAAGCATGACAGCTGAAGCAATGGAGAGTTTTGCAAAAGACCACAATTCCTTGAAGGCCAGCCATGACAACCCCTTCCATCCGTTAGTACACCAACCGACTATATAAACTACCTGAGCCAATGCCATCCCCCAGGCTGAGATATTGTACGCAGCAGCTGCACCACTGGTTCCCCACCCGAAAACTTTGATGAAGAGAAAGAGGATTCCTACGTGTGCTATCAGAGTGATGAAACCAATCCATGCAAGAACTCCAACCTTGCTCTGTGCCTGCAAGAACTTCTGAGTTGGGAAGTTGATGGCAAGGGAAACCATTTGAGGGATGGTTTGGATGGAGAATTTTCCGGCAAGGTCTGCAATGTCATCCTCTTGCCCTAGGAGTTTTAGGACTGGCGTGGAATAGATGTAAAGCGGTAGTATAGCAATGCAGGCAGCGAAAAGCATTATCCACGAGCGCTGCATGTACACTCCTAGCATGTCTACTTGCCCAGCACCAAATGCCTGCCCACATAGTGTTTCAAGTGCACTTGCCATACCAAGCTGCAATTTCATACCACATTGATTGCTTAGTTCTAACCATTGAATTATAGTATGTATTTTTTTTATTTGAGTAATATTCTAATGTATTCTAACTGACGGGGAGGAGAATTTGAACTTAGGGTGCATAAGGTGACACAATTCCTAGCCAGCCAGGCGACGCTCATGTCAGAAATCTAGTACATCTGATTCACTTGTAGTTACCAAATAAATACTTCCCATGAGAAACCCTAAAATTCTAAAAATCCAACTCCTTAAACCATGAGACACATTCAGAATACTAAACGTTGTCGTGCAAGTATTGCAAAACTGTGTGCATAGTTACACTACTTAAACATCGTGAATGATTGCGAATGCACAACAAAAGAACGTTGAGTATGAAAAAACCTCGTGTAATTGTAATGCAAGGAGAAGAAACTAACCAGGAAGCCGAACGAAAAATTGGAAATGACGGAGAGAGAAATTGCAACAGCAGAGAGCTCCACATTTCCTATATGCCCAACAAAGATGTTTGTGAAGGAGTTGACACCATAGTTGCACAATATGTTAAAGGCAATAGGCCCTGCAATTGACCAAAGCTTTGTACTCTCCACAAAACAGATGCTCTTGGCATCCTGGAAGCTCCGAATTACCGGATAATCTCCGTCACTGGACCCGATGAATGCGGGAGGAGCATGGTGGAGGTCTGCAGGTTCAAAGGTTGAGACTGCATCATCCTCTCCATCAATCATCAATGTTGGACTTTGTACCATTGCTGAAGAAGATCCAGCAGAGACCTCCGCCTTAACTGGTACATTATCTTCCGGGGTACCTATTTTGGCAGACTGTTGAATCAACCCTTCGAAGAAGCTTGGGATTGAAGAAAACTCAGGAGATTCTGATCTCTTTGTGTTTCTTCTTGTTTTATTTAATGTTTAATTTTAATTTTTTTTTTTTTTTTTTTTTTAGTTTTATGGGGAAGTAATCTTAAGAATGCTGCTAATATAGCTAGAATTGAGGAAGGCCATACAAAGATATCAGCTGACAGAAAAAGATGACCGAGTCTTAGTTTGTAGTTCAGTTTTCAGTTATTATTTCCTAGCAGAATTTTAGTTGCAATTGCCTTGAACCGTTTGGGTACAAGAAGTCTAAGTCACCTACCATATAAACATGGTACCAATATGTATAATATTAAATCAAGAACAAAGATATTAAAAGCATAAAACATCACGAGCGCTCAAGCGCTAACAATTCGTCTATGCTCTGTCTACAAATAATTTTATGACGCAACCCATTTAGCTTTTAGGTTATCATTTTATATATCATTCTTATAAGAAATCACTTAAATTGGAAATCATTTAACTATTTGATTATTATTGTGAACATTTTATTGTTTATCGTAACACTATGTTCATCTCACCGTTAGATTGTAAACGAATTCTGAATTAAGCGAATGTTCGTGGAGTTGATATTTCAATAATAACCTAAAAACTGCTCCGTTTAAATTAAGATAAATATTGTGGGATGTACCATATCAGTTTTCACAATTCCAGAACGTTGTCGTAGCATTCTAGTTAGCAAGATCTTTCTCTTGTTTTTCAGTGTTTAATTCTTTTTCGAGAAAATATCTGTTCCCTATATGGTTATAAGAGAACAAAAATTAGTAAAAATTGTTGGATAAATATCAACAATCAATGATAAATTTATATATGCTAATAAATAATAAATGTGAATGAATAATTTAATAGAGTATAAACAAAACGAAATAATATTAAACAGACAAACTGAAGATCGAGGTTTGCGTACCGCAATGTCCTTGAAACAGAAATTTCGTCCCTCCTCTATGCTTGTAGTTCTAGGAATGAAATACTCTGAAAATTTAAATATATGATTATGTGGAGAAAAATCGAAAATAAATCAATTTATGGTTATGAAAAATTGAATTGAGAACCTTTAAAGTTTTGTTTTCAGAAATTATTATAATTTATGTAGTAAAATTTATTGATAAGTGGAAAAGACGAAAATGCCCTCGTTTACTAAACGTAATTTTGTGAGAACGTATTTTATTCTCATATAAATTATTGTATTTCTTGATATATTTGAATAGAGAACGATCCTACGAGCGTGTAGGTGAAAACCGTTCGCCAAATGGAGTTATAATGAATGAAATAGAAACGAACGAAGGTAGGGACAAAATGGTCATCTCGCTATGAATCTGGAAGGCTCCATATTTGTGGGAGCCTTGTCGTGGAAAAAAAAGAAGAAAGAAAAGGAGCCACGGGAGTGGCTGAAAGGAGGGGGAACCAATCAGAAAAGGGAGAGGGGAGGAAGAGACCAACTAGTGAGAGAAAAGAGAGGAGAGAGGAAGAGACCAATGAGGAAAGGAAGAAAGGAGGGGAAGGGAGAGAGAGAGAAGCACCAAATCATTCATCATCCCCGCCCGTTTCTTTGCGACCCGACCAATAGGAAACAATGGAACCGTTGGTTCCTCCAGCCAAATTTCGGCGATTTAAGCCATGCCATCACCTGGGAAGTACTCCACAACTCTCTCTTTACCATTTCCACCCCAAATTCGAAGAGATTGGGCTCGAAACCACGAGAAATCGCACCGGTGGGTGCGATGGAGTACATCAGCGATTGGCCATTTTTCGAATGCAAAAACGTCGGTCTCTTCCACCATTAGACTCCCCTTGAGCCCTAGAACAAAGCCCAATTAGTTGCAGGGGTGGTGGAAAACCGAGGAGGAAGAATTGAGGCCACCCAAATTCTAGGGTTCCAGCGCGTTCGAGGGCTTTTCCGGCCACTTCCAGGCCGAACTAGGCTTTGGCCCAGGTATAAAAATTGTTCCTCTCTTGAGCTCTACTTACCTGTAAAATTTGGTAATTTTTAGAGTTAGTCAGAAAATTGGATTTCTGTTCGCAAGAAACCGCCACCCCGAGGCGGTGCGTGTGGCTGTGCATGGCCAGTGGGCCGACATTGCCTTTTCATGCAAATTTTGATGTTTTAAATCCTTAATTGATACCCATTTGATGTGATTCGATTGTGAAAGCTAAATGTTGAATAATTCCGTTAATAGAATATTTTCGAAAATGAATAAAAGAAAGGTTGGTGAACTACGAAAGGCTTGATCCTGCTCAAGGGTATGTATGCAGTCTAACAGGGTTAGATGCATCCTTAAATAATCAAGTTTTGACCTCTTGTTGGGAATTTGGGTGAAAAGAAGAAATTGGTGATAAATTAAAAATATAAATGTATGTTTTTTATAAGATGATTTTGGTTGAAGATCATGTGAGTAATTAAGGAATGCTTAATTAAGAATAATGTTTAATGGTAGTAAATTAGACAAGAGTTGAATTGGGCCTATCATCAGAATTATTTCCTGAAAATAAATATTTTGGAGGTGGGGCATTACAAGGAACGTCTGCTTCACTAGGATTCAAAGATCAAAGTCAAGATTCTAGCATCGGAAAACTAGACTTCTAGCGAATTTCTTTGTGGTTCTCTCAATAAGAAGGTTTGGGATTGTAGAAGATGAATTTAATTTTTCTATGTACTAAATGCCATGCAGATGGGTGTACCGGTTCTCCAGTAGATTGACCTGCAATAATACCTACAACCATATAATAGGTTTATGCCTGTTCGCAACAGTATGAGAATGAGATACGTTTGTTGGGAGACATCTTCTCAGAGGGGTGCTTTGCTTTATAGCGTTCTTTGAAATTAAAAAAAATAATTAATTAAAAAATTTAATTATTAGAGCCTGAGCCCAAAAGCCCGACCCTAAGGCCCATCTTTTGATTATCAATTAATTAGTACACCCCAAAGCCTAAAACACAAGGTTTGAGCCCAAAATTACTCTCCAAGAGCCTTATAAAGTGAGGGAACATTTTGGTGGAGATCAATGTGGAACAATGTAGAATGAAGATTTCTACTTAAAATTTCCAACAAAAATGGGCAGGATGAGCACAATAGGTTAAAATGCTAATCAAAATCAAATATCAATACATAATAGATTGAATATTAACGATATACCAATTAAACAATGATGACATATATATCTTTTTTTTTTTTGGTAAAAGTGATGACATATATATCAAATATCGACGATCCTGATAGTTGATCGATCATTTCAGCCATTGACAAAAGAAACAGTCAATAATTATAAATTTATTTTATTTATTATTTTATAAGTATTCACAAAAGTATCCCATGACCTTTATGGAAAGGCATCACCATTAGCAAAAGGTATAAGAAAAGCGAGAGGGAATATATCTCCCTGTATCTATATCCAATCCACCACCCTAACTAGCTAGAGGGAATGTAAAAAATGTGGAATTTTAATTGGGTATTTCAAAATACAACTCTTCATTAATAACTTTAATACTATTCAATTTGTTTTAAAGTCTTTACTTCAGTTTTTTATTTGTAAAACTAAAAAGTGAAGCGTTAACTAATTTATAATCGTTGTGGCGATAATGGCCAACGTTCTAGAGCTTGTTAAATGGCCTTCACGTTAGCCTATTTGTCCCAAATAATAACATCCTCTCTTTGAGGTTAATGTCAATTTTTATGGAGTAATCTTTTCTTTCCTTTGGCATATAAGAGGTAGATTCTTACTTTCCTTTGCTACTTCCTTGTCTTCTCATTAAACTTGTGTTTCTCTAATTTTTTTTTTCCTGTAAGTCGATTTGTATTTTAAAATAGGTAACTTTAACGAAAAACTTATGGTACTGTTCACTTTAACGAAAAACCACATTTTAACACTAAAAATTCAATCATGGTACTATTCACTTTATCCTTTATTTTGTCCTTATCGTTAAAACTCAAAGTTTTCAAGCATTTTTCATTAGTTTTCCTTTTAAAATATGTGGGGGATTGTTGGATATTTGATTGGTATTTCAAAATACAAATCATACTCATTGTGACAATTTATTTTCCTTCAAATTCATTTATTAATTGAATTAAAATTCTAGCCAATAACGTTGACATTATTTACTCATAATTCAGAAGATTTGGGACGTTGGCAGTTTTGTAACCTTTCCTCTGTTCATTTGGTTATTAATGTGAGAATTATTTCTTTAACTCTCCAACATTATATAACCAATGTTAATCCAATATATATATCCTTTCTATCCTACAAAACTTACTGTGTGAAAAAGAGTCCCACCATTGTGTTGTTTCTTGATAGTAAATCTCTCAATATAGAACGAAAATTTGACAGCCTTTCCCCTCCTTTCCTTTCTCCATCATTCTTGATAGTGTTATGATATTCTTCACTTTTTTCATACCAAAGGAAGAATTGAGTTGTTCACCCCATCTAAGTATTGCGAGTGCACGCTTACGAGGATCATAAGTTATTGTATCATGGAAGGTAGGGGCCATAACCTGCTACACCGAAACATTATCTTAGAGGGATGAAATCTATTCTTAAGGACAGTGACTACACTTCTCAACCTAAAATTTTGTTCTAATCAAAGATCGACAAAGAGCATTCTCTACCTACAAAAGATAAGTACTATTTTATCTTATTTTGTTTGTTTTATGTAATTTATTGTGGCAATGAAAATTATCATATATTAATAATTATCTTATGTGATTTGTTGTAGGAGAAGTAGCATTCGGATCGCCAAGATTTCCAACAAAAAATGTAATAATGAAATCATTGAAATGTGAGACCTTCAAATATACTTGTCTTTCATGTCGATAACATCCCACAAAGCATCCAATGGGGTATTGTTGGAAATTTTGAATAGAATTTTCATTGTCTCACATTGGTCACTACCAAAAGGTTTCCTCACTTTATAAGGTTTTGTCTCTTATAGATAGTGATTGGAGTGATGGACTATGGAAAATGAAATTGGGCTCAACCTTGGAGTTGTGTTTTGGGATTGACTAATTAATTGATAATTAATATATAATTAATTATCAAAAGATGTGCCTTGGGAATTTGGACTCTTGGGCTCTTAAAAATAAATTCTTTAATTAATTAATTATTTTTTATCAATAGACTCATCTTTTCAAATGAAGTTTGAAGTGATAAAAGAACGCAGAGCAAAGCACCTCTATGAAAGATGTCTTCCAATAGACGCATCTCATTCTCATACATGTTGCGAACATGTATAAACCTATTATA